AAATCCATTCATCCATAAAACTTATTAGCAGTTTTACTGTAAGATATTTAGAATAATTAAACTCTTTACCTTCCTGTCAGAGAGCCCAGTTCAACAGAAAGCTGCTCTATGAAGCCACCAGACTCCATTAACAAAAACTGTCATTTTAGCCCTCAGAGCAGAGGAGTCCCCACAATAAATTAGATGTGATTCAACTTCATTGTCATTGCAAAGAGTATGAGTACTAATAAAACAAAATGCAGTCTGAAGTGCACATGTAACGAACATGTCAGTTTGGACTAACATGGAGTGTCTCTAAATTCAGCAGCAGACCAGCAACGTGTGTGTTCAGTGAGGTAAAATTTGTGCTTTTTTCAATGGAGTCTGGTGGCTTTTGAAGAGCGTAGAGAGGGATAGAAAAGCTTTAGCTTTCTGTTGAAAATGGCTTTCTGAAAGGAAGGCAAAGAGGTGAATTATTGTAAATATTTTACACTTAACCTGATTTTGACTTCTGTAGGTGAATCTCTTTTAGGTTCTTTGCTGCTGACCGTGTTCACAACACTGCTGAACTTTCTTTCCAGTCCTTCTTTCTGCTTCTCTGAACTGACCTTGATCTAATGTAGAAACAATCCTTTTAAACGTGCACTAGTCAATATTTGTACATTTACAGAGGATAAAATGTAGTTTCCTTCAGCTCTTCCGTGCATGTCAGCTCATCAGTTTGGCTCCTGACCATCACACTCTCACCAGTGACATCAGCTTGTGTTTTACTGTTTCCAGGACGAGACATGAACTCACCGTGCACCAGCATCCCAACACCACACAGCAGAGTGAGCATCATGTTGGTGAATGTACAGTAGTGGAGCTAAAGAGCCCGATAATTCTCCCAGGAGTTGATGGAGACCAAAACAAAGCTTAAAAAAAAACCCAGAGTGAACTTACATTTCATTGCATCAGATGGCCAGAAACACAAGCCAAAACCATCAGATCATCTCTTTGTATGTTCATCCCCGTCTGGTTCGGATCGGCCTCCGTCTGATTCTGATGCAAATGTTGCTCCATACCTGTTGGTAAATACACACTGGCCACTTTATTACATGTGTCTGTGTAAAGTAATGCAATCCAGAACAACAGCTCTGTCAGAAATTCTACTTTTTATGAAGCTTTTACACTTTTTGTTCATGTTGTCAAATTCCTCTTTTTCTTTCATATTAGGGTTATACCTTTAAATGCTCCTAATATTTTGCCCTGCTCATGCATGATATTAATGACGTCATCACTTTAAAATGCAATCCAGAAGAGCTGCCACCCGACGAAAACAAATACAGAAGCTTCATAAAAGTAGAATTTCATGGCAGCACTGTTGTATTCAGCAGCGTCATATTGCACAAGGGTTCATCATCTTTATCCGGCGGCGTCAGTGCTGCTCTTTCCTCTTGTTCTCCTATGTGAACAAAAACAAAATAAAGGTTAATGCTACATTCATTTACAGAAGCTTTGTAGACATTACTGAGATTTCTGCTGCCACTTGAATACATCCATCCATCCATTATCTATACAACGCTTAATCCTCATTAGGGTCATGGGGGGCTGGAGTCTATCCCAGCCGACTTAGGGTGAAGGCAGGGGACACCCTGGACAGGTCACCAGTCTGTCGCAGGGCCACACTGAGAGACAGACAACCAAGCACACTCACATTCACACCTACAGACAATTTAGAATCACCAATTAACCTCAACATGTTTTTGGACTGTGTGGGAGGAAGCCGGAGAACCCGGAGAGAACCCACGCTGCACGGGGAGAACATGCAAACTCCACACAGAAAGATTCCGGTGCCCCCACCGGGACGTGAACCAGCAACCTTCTTGCTGCGAGGCATCAGTGCTAACCAACTGCGCCACCTTGCAGCCCCCACTTGAATACAATTAATTTGAATATTTTTAATATTCACAAAATTGATCCTATCATGACATCATAATATAATACACAGCACTTGCTTTTTCATGAATAAGTTTCAGTGAACGCTGGCGACCATCTTCCTGGAAAGACATGAAGCTGTTTATACATGTTAATTGTAGCTGAAACATTACTTTTGTTGGCATTCTAGAGGAACAATAAGACTTTATTTTCTTACCTTATTTCTGTCGGTACACAGGAGTGTCGGGTTTTGTTGGTCTCGTACGACAAACATGTTACAACAGCTTGTGTTAAACACACACAGTCGTCCTCAAATGTATTCAGACCCGTCTATTAAAGAAAAGGCAAAATTCACAATAGTCGCTCAAATAACTAGAAACTGAAAAAAGTAGTAATAAATAAAAATTTGCTAAATTATAATTTAGGGAAAGAAGACATTGCTTTTCAGTTGTGGTTGAAAAGAATAATTAAAAAAAAATATATATATATATCCCGGGCTAATTAGAGCACTTTGCTGATGAGCAGTGAAATCCAAACACCTGTCAACAGGTGCAGAAGTCTGACTGAGAGTTACAGAAAACACTTGATTGCAGTGATTGGCTCAAAGGGTTGTTCAACTAAATATTAGTTTATGGGTCCCATCATGTATGATTTTCATTAAATTTTTTATTTATTACTGATTTCAGTGACAGATGTTTTATTCCATCTTTAATGGGAGGCTATGAACAAATTAGAGGACGACTGTAGCAGACACGATTGTTTCTACGTCATCTTCGTCCATTTCTGCTACTTCACACAAACTTTCAGCAGGTCTCAGATACAAATTACAGTATTTTTATAAACGAAAGGAAAACCCAACCTTCTCCATCAAAATCAGATGGAAACTCAGCATCATTCTGCAACAGCAGCTTGCGAACCGAGACCGGAAACTCTCGCGGTTCAGCCGACGATCAGGTTCTACTTCCTTTGAGTGCAGGACAAAGCAGCTCAGGCCACCAGCAGGTGCATGTCAATAATGATCTTTAATGTCAATATATACAGAACTTGAAAGAAAAATAGAATCTTAAAAATCAAATGAAATAAATACAATATCATACAATTTCCACAATGTCTTTTTGAAGAGATATCCATGGAAATATATATATTTTTTTAAAATTCAGCCTCTCTGGTTCGACGGGGTGCGTCCCGTCCCCCCCAGAGAAATCCCTACAGCTCCCCCACATGCTCTTCATCATCTTCATTTTATATATATATATATATCTATATTTATATATATTTTTTGCAAACAAGAGAGTTTCTGTTATGGTTACCACATTGTTTCACCTTCGACACTCTAGACGTTATCTAGACGTTATCTTTTGTCCGTCTGCAGCTTATTAAACCTCTGTCCGTACATTGTTAGCATCACAAAGTAACATGAGTCAGACGGTGAGTTTTCAGGGGAAACGGGGGCGACACAGGTTCGGTCCACACATGCTGTCATGTGACTCAAAGTGCTGGGAGATGATTTTGATCCTGATGGACTTTTTTTTTTTTTAAATCTGCAACAAGCATATTTTTCTTTTCATTTTTTTGCTTCTTTTTTTTTGTCTGAGAGGAAACAGTCTTAACGATACGCCTCGGTCAATATCACCTCGCCAGCACTCGTCCACATAAATCATTACTTCACTTTGAAGAAGTTCCGAGAGAGCAACCGAGGGAAGGAGGGAGGGAGGAAGTGAGGAGGAGGAGGAGGAGGAGGATGGCGGAGTGAAGATGAAGAGCAGTGGGGAGAGGAAGGGGTGGGAGTTGGGGAGAGAGGAGGTGGAGGTGGAGGGAGGAAGGGGGGGGCACAGTTTACCAAAGCAGCTTTGAATCAGCCAATCACAGTGAAGGAGAACATCAGCTGGTGCATTTCTTCCCCACACGAGGAAGAAAGAATGAAAGGCGAGGAGGGCAAGTGCATATGAAAGCTGTGGAAATAAATACAAGTCTGTCTCCCCAGCAAGTAACAGATATGTGAGATTCCCCTCTCTCCTCTTCGGCTGACTTCTTCGCAACGCAACCTCGTCCAGTGTGTGTGTGTGTGTGTGTGTGTGTAAGCGGGTGTGAATGCAGATGTAGGGTGTGTCAAATAAATAGATTTAAAAAAAAAAATTAAAATAAGAAAAAAAACAAAAAAACAGGGAGACAGTAGCTCTGACTGGCCAAGACTTGGGTCTGTGTGCGCATTTGCGTATGAGAGTCCGACTGAGAGTGAGGTCCAAACTGGAGGGCGGGCGATGCGAGTCTACATGTCTGTTGAGGTGAGTTTCTTCATGCTGCGTCTCTGGGCTAAACTGGACGCCGCCACGGGCTCCAGCACCGGCTGACTTGTTTTCTGGCTCAGTGCTGAGTAGGTGGCAGCCATGGCTCCCTGGACAAACGACAAAACGGAAACTTGGGTTTAGCTTTTAAGATCGATGAAGCAACTGCTGGATTGTTGGTGTCCCTGTTTGGCTTCTAGTCTCAAAGCAGAACATGATGGCTTCATGTGTGAGGTGTGTTAGAAAAGCTCCAGGACTGGTGTCACAAAGGGTATATTTCAAGCTACAAACTACAGATGATCAACCAGCACAAAGAGATCCTGCGGCGAGAAGAGGCAGAGTAGTGGCAGGACGAGTCGTGGCTGCTTCACCATGACAACCTGCTCACAACGTCCATCCGACAGTTCCTGGCTGAGAAGAACATCGCCGTGCTGGAGCGACCTCCCTACTCACCCTACCTGGCTCCGTGGGATTGTTTCCTCTTCCCCAAGCTCAAGGGGGTCATCAAGAGGAAATTGAAATATATCTTTTGTGACACCAGTCCTTGAACTTTTCGTATATGCTATAGCTTCCCTAACAAAGCACACACAGCTCCCTGCAGGATGCACACAACTGGGACGACTGTGTCCAAATAATGCGCCTTAAACTTTGACTGTTGCACTCTGTAGTGTGAAATAACTCCTCGTCTGTTTGTGCACTCCAAGCTTCTTCATACTCACAATAGGACGAGCAACTTTATGCTGTCAGTGACATAATATAAAAAACTGAAAGCAGCATTAAAACCCAACACGGTGCAGGACTTTGAAAAAGTGCAGATATAGCTTACAAAGCAGAAAAATAATCATTACAAGGTAGTAGAGGTGGAATTAAATTTTAATCCCACTGCGCAGAGGATTATGGGTCAGAATGGTGAGAAAAGCACGCCGGCTTACATTCTGCAAATTCAGACTGAATCTAGCAGGACGTCCAGGAATTTGTAAGCAGTTGACATATTACATATTGGGACACATTTGTTTCTGCCGTTCTATATACGAGGGCACTTCAAAAAGTTCTCGGCCTCAACAGAAAACGTCAGTACTTTCCAACCTTTAACTTCACTTGATTCTCTTCAACTGCATGAATGACCTCATCAACAGTCTGAAAATGGCGACCAGTCGAGTGAGATTTCGGTTTGGGGAACAGATAAAGGTCAGGCGGTGCAGGTCGGGTGAACGGGGTTCATGGGGCAGCTGTTCAAAGCCCCACTTGGCTGCTTCTGCCACCGGTGCTGCATGGATGGACGCATTGTCCTGGAGCAGCAGCAGCAGCAGCCAGCTCCAAGCTTTCCTCTCGTTTGTTCTCCGATTGCTTCGTTTGAGCTTTTGTGGACAGTGCCATAAGGTTTTATAGTACGCAATTATGGCCCAAAATCAGCCACATGTTTCCAGGTAAGGAGGACTTTTTGAAGCACCCTGGTAGTCTGGTGGTGTGGATGATGGACAGCACCATGTATTTCTTCTTTAAGTCTGAGATTGCTCGGCTTTGAGTCTAAGTGACTACGTAATGCTCACTTCACTCTGCAAAACTCCACTAATTTGAAAAAAACACGACATGAATGTCAGCTCAAACGCAAAAGAAGGAGTTCAATTAATCTTGACAGGTATGGCCGCAACTAATTATTATTTTTATTACCCATTAACGGTCCATAAAATACTGGTAAAAAAAAACGTCAATCACAATTTCCCAGATCTGTCAAACATGTCAGATTCCAACGTCTGACAAACAGCACAAAACCATACAAGACAAAAGCCAAGGACCTTTACATGTTTGCCTTTTTTTTAACTTGAAAAGTAAGTGGTGGGATGATTAATCAATTATTTAAATAGTTGCTGATTACTGTGATTATTTTTTCACTTTAGCAGATTTATCACATTCGGCGTGAGTCACCATCATTTCCAGCTCATTCAACACTGTGTCACACAACATTTGTTCATGCAACCCACTTATCTGGATATGAATCACAGACACGTCATGCATTATTTGGAAAAAGAAAAAAAAGAAAAAGAAGCAAACTGGGAGCAGCAGCAGCAGCATTGAAAACCAACACAGAGTAGGACTTTTAAAAAGGGCAGATATCGCTTAACAGAAGTGGAAAAAAATGAAACCGAGTCATTGGTGCAGACATTTTTAGACTGTAGCAAGATGAGGAAGATTTAATTAGGTTTATATAATACTGGTTATAAGCGGTAGAAGGGGCGGAATTTAATTTTAAACCGTCCCTTTGTGTAATTCAAGACAGGTTATGAAATACAGCTAGGTGTTGGATTATTCACTTTTCGTCAACTGCATAAAAAAAAACTTGTAGACGAAAGCTGCATGAAGTCGACACATTACTACACTGGGAAGAAAATGTGTTGTGATTAAAAAGGACAAACAAAATCATATGAGAAGAAGGATTAAAAATTTGAAAAATATGCTTTTACACTTAAATAGAACACAACACCTGAGTGATCATAATTTAACTGATTGTACTGGGTTGTCGGTTTCTCTTAGTCAAGGATAAAAGATGAGGGATGTGAGGTATACATTAGTATACGTAGTGCATTTATAATTAACTCATCAGATATAATCCTTAAGCTGGTCTGTTGAGCGGAGCACATGTATGTTGAATGTTTTGTTTTGTTGCTCTTGTTCTGTTTTCTGGCTGTTTTGTTTTGTGTAAATTGTAAACGCTGAATAAAATCTCATGAAAAACAAAAGTACGAGCAGCAAATACTGATGTACAAACAGACACACTGCAAAAAAGGGAAGCCCAAACATAAGATATAAACACTAGATTTGAGAAGAAAATGACCTAAAACTAGTGAAACTATCTGTCCATGCAGCAAGTACATTTTACTGGACAAGAAATCTTGAAATAAGATGATTTAATGTTCAATTTAAGATTGTTCTGTAAAATCAAGGAGTAAAAATGAGTAAATAACTTTTAAAACAAGCTAAATTATCTATCGTGTCTAACAATGAGATTTTAAATCTTGGCAAGTCCCAGATTATTACGACGTCCTCGATGAACTTCTTCCTCTCCCCCTCATTTGCTGTCAACTTTCTAGTGTCGCTATCTAATAAAAATGCCATAAAAAGGGGCAACAACAAGGTAAATGATTATGTAGGACTACATTCTAGATAAGATAAGCTTGATTTGTCACATACACATTCATACACGGTACAATGTGCAGTGAAATGTATTTTGTACCAGTTTCAATGAAGACAAAATAAATAAATAAAATAAAAATATAAATAAAATAAAATAATATTGTAATATACTATAACACTATAACATATACCTCTGGCAGAGTGTCTGCAGCTGACTGCTGTTTACTGACTCTGGATAGAAAAGGTGGTTAATTGCTCCAGAGGTCACACAAGGGCGATGCTTGTTCAAACCAAAGCGAGACAACAGGTACGAAAATAACCCCTCCTGACATCAGCGGCCCCCAGAGGGGCGTTTAGATATAAAGCAATTGTCATAAACAGATGTGCAAGACGGAGGAGCAAGAACGGAGCCGTGACAGCTGTTGGACCGATGACTAAGAGGAGTGTGATGGGTGTAGGAACAATGCACGGTCACAGTCACGCCAATAGCGAGGGTAGATTTTAACGTAACAAGCGTGAGTGTGCTGAACTACCGCGGCCTATCTGACGTTAATTGTGCAGTCTGCTGGCGGGGTGTTAATGACGCTGGAAACCTTTTAATAAAACCTGCTGATACCGTCCTTGGATGAAGTGCAGTGTAACAACACGTGCATTGAAACTGCTCCACAGACATGACAGTGACCTTGACTGTGCTGCTTTCCTTCGCAGTCGCTTCAGAAATAACAAAAGAAGTGAGTCGGTGAGGTCGAACAGGTGGTTGACCTCATGAAAACTCTACTTTCTATCTTTTCCATCCATCCATCCATTATCTACACACCGCTTAATCCTCACTAGGGTCGCAGGCGGGCTGGCAGCTGACTCAGGGTGAAGGCAGGAGACACCCTGGACAGGTCACCAGTCTATCACAGGGCTACACTTAGAGACAGACAACCAAGCACACTCACATTCACACCTACGGACAATTTAGAATCACCAATTAACCTCAACATGTTTTTGGACCTTGTGGGAGGAAGCCAGAGAACCCACACTGCACGGGGAGAACATGCAAACTCCACACAGAAAGATCCCCGGTGTCCTCACCTTCTTGCTGTGAGGCAACAATGCTAACCACCGAGCCACCTTGCAGCCCAATATCAGGGGCAGAATAACTGATGACTGTATTCGTATGACTTTTCCCAACTACTACGTGAATAAACATCAATCTGATGGCGTCTTGGTATGTGTGAAACTACAAAGGAAGGTTTTTAGGCACAATTGTTGAGGGCAAACAGGACAGTGAGCGTTTCAAGAGTCACAAAACAAAGCTCTCTGCTGACTGATGATCCTCCCTCAGCTATAATCACAGATTTTGGGTTGTATGTGAAAGAACAAGCTCAAAGACATAAGCAGATTCCCATGCACAGATGCAGGGAACTGGGTGAACAGTTTAGTAATTTCAGAGTGTCTCAGTACAAAGCTGCTGCTCTCGGAGATTAAGGGAGGTCAACTAAGGTGGGTCACACACTTCTTAAGGATGCTGTCCAGGAAACCTGCCTGTGTCTGAGAACAAGCGATGCGATGGACACAGCACCACTACAGCTTAGGGAGCTCTGTTGTGTTGTTTTACTGCAACTTTAGCCACCTTCAAATACTTTGTCCTTTACTTTGTAAGTGGAAAGACTCGGATTTTGTGATGCAACACTGATGCTTTAGTCTCAGGTTCAAGTTGAAGATTCTTATATTTTTTGCACGTTTTGTTACGTACTCTCGTCTCCATCCCAAACATGCACACAAACACAAAAATCATTCGCTATTTTTGAAAAGTGAGCAAGACAACAATCTTTTTTTTTTGTGTTGTTTTCAGTCACCTAGCAACAGCTCCCTCCTCACCACTTGAAGACCAAACACACGGCAAGACACAAAAAGATGAGTTCCATTTGAGGAAGCATCTGATCTGGGTAAGTGGCAAGATGAGACAGGATGGACATGACTGCTGTGCAGGATGTGGCATTAGCGACAGATGAGATTAGAAACGGATGAATCACCAAGGATCCCTTTTATTCGTCGAGAAGCACAGACGTAAGAGTCTGAAATCAAACACAAGAGCCCAGCACCTGTACTGAAGTCGTGAGACTGCGTAAAGCCGTCCGCAAAAAACGAAATCAAAACCGGTTGGTCCCCGTCTTTGTTAGTTGGCGGGATGTTGCGTGTGTACTCACCTTGACGAGGTGCGGTGCGTCATGGCGTGTGAGCTGGAAGTGTGGTAGCGTATCTCTACATGTGATCCAGGAATGCTTTAGAACCTGCTCGGCTGTGTATCGCTGGTGAGGGTCCACATGAAGCATATGGGAAAGCAGGTCCTGGAGGATCAATCATATTCAATTTGTGTTATTATAAAGGTTTGTTTGTACTATATAAGCATGACTGGACAGTTTTTCATTGACTAAAAAAGTTCCAGTGAGTATTAAACATTTAAATAAAAGGAGACTGAGCTTTTGAGGTCATAGCTCTGAAAGTCTTCCCCATTAAAAATCTGTGGACACTTTAGAAATGCAGCTCAAGGCCCATTTGTTTAGACTTGCTTTTGTTTAGTTTAGGTTTGTTTTAGTTTTGCCTCATGTTTTAATCCAGTTGTCTAGATTTTACGGAGGGTTTTTCCTAGAACAGAATGCAGCTTTGGAGGGTGAATACTAACAAAAAAGGCAATAACTTTGTGTTACAGACAGAATTCTGTGCATTTTCCTGTAATTTCTGACCACCTGAAAAACAAATAAAGTCTCTTATGCTTCAGTAAATGATGCTGAAATTAGCAAAACTGGTTACAAATTTGAATTGCAATTTGTATTTTCAACTCTTGTCATGCCGGTGCTGGTGATTTTCCTTTGGTGGAGACGAAAACTTTTTGAGGGTCCAACAAAAAAATGCCTCTTTGTCTCTTTTTAGTGCTTTATTGTGAAGCACTCTGTGATGTCTGCTTTTGAAAGGTGCTGCACTGATAAAACTTCACCAACATAACAGAACATTTTCAACACCATTTTTTATCACTGCTTTGCAAAAAAACACCAAATGAGGCAAATCCAGTATTAAAGACAAAATACCAATACTATAGCTACATTAAAAGAAGATAATTCACTAACATAAGCGTGAAGGATTCAGTCAGAGTGCCGGTTTGTGTACCTTCGAGGTGTCTGATACAGTATCCCAGTTGCCACCCGTCAAAGAGAACTTTCCAGATCCTATCCGGAGAAGAATCTCCTCTGGTGTGTCGTTTGGCCCATTAGCGAACGGTGTGTACCTGACAGAGGGATGAAAAGCAGAGGTTAGGAAAACACATCACATCATCTTACATGCAGTGTTCAACTTCAAAGACGCTACCCGTGCTTCCAGGCACAGGGAAAACTAGTCACCAGAGAGCTGTTGTACTTTCATGTTTAAATCACAGCCCCTCTTTTGAGCTCCAACTTTCTAAAGGCATTAGACTGGTTTAGAAAATTGGACGCGCCGTCGACTATTAATCATTCCCACCAAATGTGTCCCTGAGCGCAGCCTTACCCTGCCAACATGGTATACAGTAGAACTCCAAGACTCCATATATCACAGGCTGCATCATAACCTTGTCGCATTAGTACCTAGACACACACAAAGAAAGACAAGCACACTATTAGGGACCAACAATGGGATATTTTGTTCTCTTTATTTCTCCCTCATTACATCTTTCTCCATGTTTCTAAATCCCGTCTTCTAGGTTTTGGATCTTGCATTACCACTGCATCATTTCTCACCTCTGGTGCCACAAAGTTTGCCGTGTAACAGGGGGTGAGGAGCAAGCCGTTGCCTCCCCGAAGCTGCTTGGCGAATCCAAAGTCACAGATCCTGATGGAGTCAGGATTCCCCGAGTCGTCCATGTACAGGATGTTGCTGGGCTTCAGGTCTCGGTGTACCACCTGGAGAGAAGCAGGAGGAGAACATATTACAGAGGGTTTGTGAAATTCGCTCTGGTCTGAGTGTTTGTAGACGCGTTTGCTCACCCCTTGGCAGTGGAGGTAGTCAACAGTCTTGGTGATGGTGTAGAGCACAGCACTGGCCTCTCTCTCAGAGAAAAACTTCTGCCTGAGGATTTTATCCAGCAGCTCCCCTCCTTTCATCAGCTCCGTTACCAGGTACACATACCTGCCTTCATCATACACCTGAAACACACATACACAAACAGAAAGACAATCTGTCAGAGTTTACCCCCAAAAACTTACCAATCTTAGAAAACTTAGAGACAAACGTTACTGACGTCTTTCAGAGTGATGATGTTGGGGTGCTGTCCGTATCGCATCAGGATTTCAATCTCCTCAGAGGGGTCCCTCTTACTTTTGTCTATAATCTGAGCAACAGAAAAACAGACAACAACAGTTATTAAATTACAAAAATCCTGTTTGGCTGATTAAAATCAATCTTCTGTGTAATATACAGCAGTTAACAATCTCAACTGTCTAAAGCGTTCCTGCAATCTGTGAGGCTGTGCTGCCCTCTGCTGGTGCACTGGCACGACTAACCACATTGTCAGCAATGATTACTCCATTTTCAGCAGTTTCCCTCATCCCAAGGTGCAGAAACTCTATGAAAGCACATTCTAGAAACACCTGCTGTCCATTCACAGTACAACCATGTCCTTTAATTGAATTCAGATGCCTGACAATTAAAAATTTGGTGCTTCTACTGTAGTTCTCTTGGGCCTACTGTGAATAGTGGCACGCAGAGATATTTGAAAAACAAACTGATGACGAGCTGAGAAATCGAGGTCCATGCTGGGATGACCCATGCTTTATCACTTAGTTGCATTCAGGCTGGGTCCATTTAAATTATGTATATTACCCAAGTGGATCTGATCAGACAGCTCTGATTATGAAGTACTCTCTGTGTGTGTTTAACAGATGACAGTATATTAGCAACCCCAATGTTAGCAGCAGCGGCGGCAATGGACAAGATATGACTATTAACATTCAGCGAGCAAACTGTCGAAGTTGCCCTTCTTGTACTGGATGCAAAATAACTGCAATGCTGATCCTAAATGAGTCACGTTTGTCACACGTCACTGTGACAGCGAGGGGACTTAAAGCTGAAATAATAACAAGCAGATGAGCCTGTTTCAATCAGTGAGGGAGGAATAACCTGAATATGTTTTACCACCTTTCTCAGCAGGGAGGGTGGATTATATGCGTCACGGCACCTCAGGAGAAATGGCTACTAACGCTACATTAGATATAACACAACACACATTGTTGGACACCTGGTGACCCCTGCTTAACTTTGGTACTAATGCTCAAAAAAAGCAGAAGTCATAACAAAGACTTGACAATCAAATTTAACTGGTTACCTTCACAGCATAGTCCATAGCAGAGACTCGGTGTACACAGCGTTTACAAATAGAGTAGGAGCCAACCCCTATGTCCTCCTGCAGCTCGTACAGATCGGAGAACTTGGCCGAGCCCCCGTGCATCTGAAAGGACAGGAATATTAATCGTGATATTGGATTCTGTGACCTTAACTGGATGAGCTAGTCCCAGCAAAGCGTCTTTCACCTTCTGCCCTTCACAAGCCATGTCTAAGCATTATTCTCACATGATGTGATTGAGCAGTTCCACTCCAGTTCACTGGCGGTAAATACAAGTCAGCAAAGTGTAATTACATGTCAGAGCATCCTGGTGTTTTGAGACGCGCAAACATTTTAGTTTTTCCCTCACAAATTCACCAGAGTGGAACTTCAGCGGTGGTGTTGTAAACTACATATTCAGCAGCAACTGTCACACCAGGTTTTCTACCATTTTAGTATTTGGCTGCGTGTTTGTGCGTTGCATAACGACAAAATGCGAACAAACTAACAGTTGCAGGTGTGACAGCGACTTAACACGTGTGTCTTGCGAAGGACGCCGTGTGTAGGTCGGCGCTGGAACACAAGCGCCATTGTTGGATAATTCAGGTGATTTTTGCAGCTGAACTTCTGCCATTATACCAAACTATTCTGATTGGATTTTCCTTTGTTGTGATAAAAAAAAAATGTGGCTGCTAAGTTTGCCAGAAGACTCTAGAAAAGCTTCAGCACCATTACAAAGTCGCCAAATTAATTATTACAATTACAATGTTGTGATAATTGCTCTGTCACACTTACAGATGTGCTAAATGTGGTGCTAACTCCCTTGCACCTGGATTAACTTCTCCCAGAGCTGTGTGCAATGTGAAATCAGCGTACAGCTCCACAGTAAGTCGTAGATGTTTCTAATCAGTGCTGCAAAATGTCAAAAACCTACATCGTCCACGATTAGGGGTAAATGGAGCTAAAGAGCAAAACACGTGTCTCTGTGTGACCTCCATGTATGAAAGTCAATACTGTAAAAATGAATGTGTGAGAGAGGGCATATGCAAAGCAGAGATTCACCTGAACTATGGGGAGTATGCTGAGCAGCGGGGAGCTCTTGTTCTCATCCATCGGGGTTGGAGCAACAAAGCTGAAGCCTTTGAAGAGCTGGTGGGCGTTAGCGCTGGGCGGGATACCTGGGGAATCTAGATACACAAAAGATAATTCATAATATAGACAAACTGCACATACAAATACCCACTAAAGTTAGTAGTCGGGCCTCACTTGCAGTCTCCATGGCTGCAGGAGCGGGTTCCCCGCTTGTATACTCGAAAGCATGCGAGCAGAACATGTGTCTGTGTAGGTGTAGGCTTACCTTTAGGCGTTTTAGCGGTGAACTCTGGGTCGAAGCAGAACGTGTCATCTGGTTTACCTGCTGCAGGCTTGAATGGGGGCTGGAGCTCTCTCCTGTACAGTTTCTGAGGGAAAAAAAACGAGATACGCGCACTCAGAAAACACATGTTAAGATACGGAGCCCTACCGCAGGCTGTTGGGAGTGTGTGAACATATGTGCAAGAGTAGCCAAGACCCCTCCCAGATTAACCCCCTCCAATCCCTCCACGGCTCGGTCCGGCCAATAGCATCCTGCTGGCTCTTAAACACTCACGCAGGGCTATTAGTGCACACACAGTGAGAACTGGACCTCTGCCCAGACTCGCGCGCACACAAACATAGTAGCCGTGTGCCAAGACTGATGGCCAGTAGTCACCAAGCCAAACGTTTGTTAGGTGTGAATCCTCAACAGAAGCTGGGGAGTTACATGTGTGTGTGCGTCTATGTGAGAAACGAGAGGGGAGAAGTGTGTGCTCACATTCCAGTCGATGGTGGAAAAGAAAGCGTGCCGTTTGATCTCCTCCACTCCATCGGGCCCGGCCCCTGAAGACACAGACCACTTTGGTTCAGTTAACCTGGCGCCTTCGTTCTTATTGTTTTCACAAGATCAACACATTCACACATTTTTTTTTTCTTCCAGCACATAATTTAAGTAGGTGCCAAAACGCTAACAAGCTTCAGCGAAGGGAACGGTGCAATGTGACGATCAAAACACCTCATTTTCCTCCTTACCTAGTCTGTTAGCGGGGTTACGTTTAAACAGCATTCTCAGCAAACTCTGGGCTTCCAAACTTAGGAACTGGGGCATTCCCAACTTAGCTCTGGAGGGGGAAGAAGGAGCACGGGGCTACAGGTTAACACGAGCAACAAGAACAGCTCAGCCTGATCATTACATACACATCAAAACTTGTCTGACATGCTTTCAGTGTCTTAAAAACGCCACGCATAATGACTCACTTGAGAATCATGTTCATGGTCTCGTTGCGGTCTTTCCCTTGGAACGGTAATGTCCCTGTTAGCATCTCAAACTGCAAACACACAGCAGGAGAGCAGATGAACTGGGTGTTATCATTTCACAGGAGTGTCATTCAATTATAATGTGGATTTGTGTGAGTTTTGTGTACCATTAGTACTCCCAGAGACCACCAGTCTGCACTCTGCGTGTGTCCTCTCCTGTTGACCACCTCAGGGGCCATATACTCCACCGTACCACAGAAGGAATAAGCCTTCTTATCAGCATCTACTGACTCTTTACTCAAGCCAAAGTCTGCACGACAAAATCGCAAATTAAAGTGTAGCTGTGGAAAAGTCTGTGTATCGAAGACGTTGTTACGAATCTAGTTTTTATAAGTATGAATTTAATATAAAAGAGTTTAATAGACTAGATTAGACAATACAAAAACTCTTACCAGACTAAAAAAACAAAAAGGTAGCTTTGCATTTCAATAATTAAGCAACTGGTCAGAGACATACCTGTTAACTTTATATGTCCAGCTTCATCAAGTAGGATGCTGAAAGACAAGAAGAGTTTTCCACAGAGGTGAGCTTCAAACAGCTACTCCTGCAATGGCAGCATTCAAGTGATCTGATGCCTTTGTTTCCTGCTTAAGTCCCTTGAAACGTATAAGATCTAAGAGTTTTGTGTGAAACTTGTTCTCGAGTTCTGAAGGTTTCAAGTGCACAGTTAAGAATAAGAACTGACAGATCAGTGCCTCCTCCATGTAATTTCTGCCAAGGGACAGAGTTTTTTAGTGCAAGCAAAAGACTAAAAACTCACTAAAAAACACTTTAACTTTGACTCAGAAATAAGTGGATGGAAATCAGTTGTTGGAGAAACGAATTCATCTTCTTGAAAGTGCTTATTCTACCAAGTCTGATCAGCTTCCATTTGTTGTTAAAGAGAGTAAATGGCTCTTGATATCATCTTGTGATAATATTTTATGCCAATGATTTATGCATACATAAGTGCCATGCAAACTGTCTTCGAGCAGACTTTATATAATACTGATAATTCAACTTTTAGGTCCTTGAAATCTTCCCACACAGAATAAAAATATGATTCGCCATTTCATTATACTATATTTTCATAAAAAAAAGAGGTGATTCATATGAAGATCTTAAGTGATGCCTCCTCATAAGCTCCACTGTTGCTAAAATAGACCAGAGCACACGAGTGTTTTGAAAATACAGAAGGTGATGTGCAAGTCAAAAAAAATCATTTGTGGCTTTGGACTTGTGAGGACAGACGTTTAGAATGAAACCCAAAGTAAATCACAGTTGTGCAGGTGCTTTCTGTATTGTGTGTGCTTGGGTGTGACGTGTGAAAGGTCAGAGGTGAAGGAGAGGTGTGTGTACGTACTTCTCTGGCTTGAGATCTCTGTAAACTATGCCCAGGTTGTGCAGGTGGTCGAGGGCCAGGGCCAGCTCTGCAAGGTAGAATTTCACATCTTCCTCTGTAAACATAACCTGATAAGAACTGGACAAATTTACTCTCTGAACTCTGAAGAAGAAGAGAAATTCAGCAGCAAAGGAAACAAAAAAAAGACACACAACTTCAATATTAAGCTTCAGTTACCACAAACACAGAAAACAGAGAATTATTATTATTATTGTCACAACATCAACATTTTCAAATAGGGTACACAGTTCAGCAAGCTGTTGATTTGACACTACTGGCAGCTATCGCTGCAGCTCTGAGACATGCTTTCAACACAAGGTCTATCTTGAGAACAATCACACATTGTTTGAGAACCCTGAAAGCATTTGAAAAGAGCTGATCTGGGCCTCTAACTGACAAGCAACTGATGATGTAAAAGCGAATAAAGATTCCAAGAAAAGCACTTGTGTTTCCAGGAGGAATTCAAGACATAATCTGAATAAAAAGCACACACACACACACACACAAAACAGGAGAGACAAATGACTTGGCAGTACTTATGCTCTTATAAAATAAAGTAGTCTAGCATTCTAAATCTGCACCTGTTCCATTTGTAGCTGTCATCTAAACAATTCCTTCGGGTTTAGAAATGAACCTTGTAGCATCTGTGGTTCAGATTTTCACAAACATGTCACAAAGGTTTAAAAGCGTCAACGGAAAAGGACATGCTACACTTTGCTTTTCATAACAGGCGTAATAACAAAAACCAGGAAAGAGATGTGAATGAGCTTAATGAGCATAATTAAGTGTAAGGCAACAGAACGTCAGCTTACCTCTTTGGATAAGCGAGTGAATACATCCCCTCCCCTGAGAAAGTCCAGTATTAAATACAGTTTCCCTTCTGTCTGAAAGGCTGGGGAAGGGAAGGAAATAAATCATTTATCCGCAAGCTAATCGCATTCTGACTTCACAACAGGTATTCGAGTGTCAAGTCTGTTTTAATAACTGCGCAGTAACACCGAACATATTCTGATAAATGATGTCAACAAAGATGCTTCTGACGGGAACACGAAGATGCACGTAAGCAGCTTATCCCACATTCAACCTTAACTAGGACGTAATCTGTACGATCATATATAATCGCCTGCATGCTATGGACATGAGAGCGCTTCTCTTACCGTAGTGCAATTTCACTATGAAGGGATGATTGACTTCCACTAAAATGTCTCTTTCCATTTTAGTGCGAACTCTGTCCCTGACTGGAGAAACAAAAAAAAAACAAAGGGGCAGTGAGACGCTGTGGACAAACCATACTAGGAAATTTGCAAAGTGGTGTTTCGTGCGGAGCTTGATTAAAAACAGTGTGGCGTTACCTTTCAAAGATGCCTTTTTTAGAACTTTCATTGCATATAACTGACCAGCATCTGGACCCACAATCTTCCTGACAAGAAACACCTGAGAGAGGAAAGACGGAGAATTTAGACGAAACGCCCGTGCTGACCGAAACGCTTTGATTGTTCTTCTGACTTTCCTCACCTTGCCAAAAGAGCCCTGGCCGAGGACTTTGAGTAGTTCAAACTGAGACGGATCAGCTTTTTCACAGCCCTCTTTCACATGGTGGGTGATAGGGATCTCCTTATATGTCCCGTCATCCTACACACAGACAGCATCAGTATGAGACAGACGCCCACAACAGGTATGTCATCCTCCACGCGTCCACACAAACAAACACGAGACCACAAGCCCGGCTTTACTTACACAGTGTGAGAAAGACTCTCCCTCCTCCATGGGCTCGTCCATGATCTGATGTCCATTGACCTGCAGCCAAACCAATGAATTTTATCAGAGGAGTCGTCAACAGTTAAAGACTTTCACAAAGCTTGTTCATCCTTGTTTTCAGCTGAGCAGGACTATGACTGCAGCTGCTGCACGCCCACATGTATGATGGAAGATTCAACAGATGAAACCGATGAGTCACATGCAATAACACAGCGCTTTCACTTTTCCAACTGAAGCCCTATTTGTTGTCAAACAGTATGGAGTCCATACTTAAAGCGCGTCCAGCTGTCCAGCTCTCATCCTGTCCCTATAAAGCCCCTCATTATTAGCATTCTAGCTTAATCCCCAGCCAGAGCAAAAACAACATGTCTGACTGGCTCGGAGAGTCAGATTTTTTGCTGGGGCTACAGTCAGCATTCAGCCTTCTGAGGACAAAGTAGTGCCCGGATCTTTTAGCGCTTGTAGCTGATGGCAGTGGTAAGATGCTTTTCTTTTGAATGACCACAAAGAGGCATGCTTTAACCTACTCGGAGTCACACTTAAGAGGCTGCTTTATGCGCACTCACTGTGATGAGACTGTCAGAAGAGAAATGCCAGATGTATCAGCATCTGCAAGCAAATCAGACAACGCACTGACCGCTACAACATTATCCAGGTCTGAATATTTCACTTCTGTGCGGAAGCGGAGCCTGTATTATGTATTCAGTCCACTGTGTTTGTGTGTTGAATTCCATCAAGCCTCTGAAGAGGGGGGATGAGTCATAGCGCTACGCAAGCCCACTCAGTGGGTGGAGCCACCAACACACACTCACGTACATCCACAGAACAGTGGCCAACAAACCACTCTCCAATATCTTACAGAATAACATTACATACATAAACATTCAAATCAGGCCAGACACACACACACTTCAAAGCCTGATATAACGCTGAATAAACTTCAAAATCGAAGCCTCGGTGCATCTGTGAAGTATAATATCCAGGCTAGCCAAAGCCAGGGCAGTGCTTGTGTCATAATTCACACATACACTTTCACTCCCACCTTTGCTGTGGCTCATCACGGCTTGTAACAGAGCGCAGCCTACACTTGCAGCACAACCAGGCGAGCCTTTTTCAGCCATGCGAAAAAACATGTCTGACAGCCATACATAATGTCATCTCACATTCACTGATGCCGGCATCGAGGGTTTGATAAAGCAGCATCTTCAAAGTCACAAAAAAAACTGATTCAAAGTGGATTAAACAACCAGCATCCCCACTGGCCCGGTTTAGGTGGCTAAGCTGATGTTTACTTCTGTGCTTCTGTAATCTTGGCAGCCTTCAAAGGTGCGGTATTCGGTAAACAGCAGATTAAAGTGTTTATTTGTAGCAGGAGATGCAAAAGTTTTGTGAAACCTGGAAATATTTTGGGTGCGATAGTTAAATAATGACTTATTCAGCCTTTCTATGCACACAAACCTCCAACAGATTGAGCAGAAAGTTTGAGAATTTAACGGCAGGACTGTAACGGGAGGAGGGTTTAGTTCAAACACAGAATGCACTGGGTCAGAAGTGGATGTTGCAACAACTTTCTGTTGGCTTTAAAACAGTCACAGCAGTCAGACAGACAGTTTGGACTGTAGGTGTGAAAAGACTGCAAAGAATCCCAGAGACGGAGATGGTTTAGGATGTCAGGTTGGCTTAGCAGGACGTGGAAAAACATCATGGGGGCCCCCACGTAAAAGCAAACTGACTGTTTCTGTCACAAGACTTGATTTGGATGAGTCTCTAGAAGCAAAGACCTAAAGAATAAAACTGAACCTATAATTAACACAAGCTCCATGCTGTTATGATCCCCAAGTAACTTATCTTATAATGTACATGCAACAGTAATGTTCACAAAATCACTTAACTAGATCATGAATGCATTACTACATGTGTAGATTCCATTTAATTACATTTTAACTTAAAACCCAGCGAATAAAAACCCAAGTTCTAACTATTAACAGCATCACAAGGCAGCTCTCAGTTGTGAGCACGTCTGACCACATTCAGCGCAGCTACTGTTAGACAAATTTAACGCTTTTTAAATGCTCGAAACGTTTCAGCGACAAACGACAAACACGCAAAAGCAGCTTTTTATCAACCAAGAGCAGGAGGCCGGTTAAAAAACAAAACTTGTCTCCCAAGTTTCAAGCCTGCAAACTGCCAGCTAGCAACAAGCTAACTCCAAGCTAATGCTACATGCGCTAAGCTAGCTATGAGGCAAACTCCTCTTGAGAAGTGTAAATAACAACAAAAGCGAGGAAAAGGTCTCGTGTCGCCGGATAAAGAGCCCGACCTGCGTGCGGCACGGTAAACGGCGGCGAAAGTCCGGACCGGCGGCCGTGAAACTAATAAACCCGGGTAGTGCAACAAAAATAAACATCTAACCAGCTGTTAGCATTAGCTAGCGTGTTAGCATGCATCACGGTGCGCTGCGGGTCGTGACGCGAATTTAAGCCTCGCAGGGCAAGCTAACTTAACGGGACAGCACCGAGCCGCGGCATTGTTCGTCGAATTAACATGCAAAACGCGCATTTGTCAACTCACCTCACTACTAACGCTGTTTACCTCCATCTTGTGCCAGGATTCCTCTCTCAGTCTAAGGCATCGTAGTCCACCTAGACCCCCGCTCCACGTTGCATGTTCTTTCCCCCCCTTGTGTGGAAGTCCGGCTGTTTCTGCTTTGATGTTCGGATGCACGCTGGGTGGCCGCTACCGGGACCGGATCCGGAGGGGGGACGCGGTAGATGTTGATGACTGGATCACACGCTCGCCGAGAGCACCGCTACCCTGCCATGGATGCGAATATGGCGGCTACCGTGGTACCTGACCGTCAGTGAATGAGAGTTTATTGACGTATTTATGACGCAATTCAGTTAAGGATTTCCCCCCGTCCAAACCAAAGCAGCAGCAGCAGCAGATCTGGAGATAGAGAGGAGGAGGGGGAGTGGTGCTGGTGGTGGTGGTGGTGGCTGGCGTGGGAAGGGTGGTGGTGGTGGTGGTGGAGGTGGAGGGAAGGGGGGAGGACGGACTCGATGCTGTGTGACACGCTGTCACGCCGTGTGACATACACGCATCCGGCTGATGGACCATTTGCTTGCGACTAGGAATAGTCTCTGGCTCTGTGACAGGGGAGGCGAGCAGTTTAACCTATTGTTGACGCAGGATCAAAAGGGGAGAGCACAAAAAAACCAAAAACAAAGCAAAATAAAAAAAATTAAAATTAAAATGGGGCCATCAGTGTGAGCTTCTCATCTTGAGGGTGAAAGTTGACTGTTTTAAAGCCACTGTTTCGTAAGCCAGCCCATCCCTGGTTCAAGTGGAAATAAGAGGCTTAAAGCTCATCCACTTTCTCTGCAGCTCTGTCTCCCACCCAAACGCACCAAGTCTTTGTGTGGAGATCTATGTGTGTACACTGAGCAGCTGCATGTGTTTAGGAATACAGAATTTTATTGTTAACATCATGATTTATAGATACACATTTATGCACCTTCTCTTTTACTTGCTGGTTTCACTTTATCTCTATCCAAGTAAAAACCGGCTCCTGAGCAAGATCTGCTCCAGAATGATCGGACTCCCTGTAAGAGCCCTCTCCACCTTTTGTGAGCAACAGACCTTACAGAAAGATCCTTCAGGACCCAGCACAGCCGCTGCTCCCCGTCCCCTCTGGACGTCACCTTCACTGTCCAGGCTGCCGGACTCACAGAAGGAGGACAGCTTTTGTTCCCAGAGGTGTCCTCCTTCTAAATGTACAACCATCTCTGACCTGCTGACTCCCTGCCATGTAATATAATATAATATTTCTGATTTGGTTTGTTTATTGTTTTTTGATGTCTTTATATTAAATTCTCAGTGAGCTTTTAAATTGCACCCAGAGGATCAATAAAGTTATTTGAATTAAATTAAATTGAATAGATTTGGCCAATAGTGATGGCTTGTACAAAACAAGTCATGCTTTGTATATTAAGGTTTAAGATCAGTTACTATATATCATGAATTGACAATCTGACAGAGCTCCAGCAGCAGCGCTCTGGACCTCCACTAAACACTACACGAGACCTTGACTGTTCTAACACTAATCTACATTTTTATATTTTTCCTGCTGTATCATGAGCAGATATTCACATTCTGAGAAAAAGACAGACACACGGGTAAGTTAGAGGTCGTTTATTGTTCTCTCTGGAGTGGACCAGAGCAAGGCGAATGATATGCAGTAAAAAAGGCATCTGTCAGCCCAACAGTCGTAGTGAAGCATCAATCCACAGGCACTGGGCGCGAAGTACGAGTTTACCAGAGTGTTTGTGTAAATGTTAGGACCGTACAGTCTCTCTTGTGTGAAAACCTGTCTCTGTGTGGAGTGTGAAAACGCATCTGTATGAGTGTGTGTGACGTAAATGAGATAGTCACTCTTGTTCTGTAGCTGCTTCCAGCAGTTGCTCCTCTGATGCAGAGGGCTCAGTAACTTCAGTTATCGTATCGTCTTCGTTTATGGTGACCAGCGGGACGTCTTCGTTTGCTTGGGCCGGCGGAGGATCGATGCCCCTCGCGCCGGCCGTCTGGGGGTAATCGTGGATGGGGGACGCGTCTGCTGACTCGGCAGCCGACTGGACTCCTCTGTCCACTGTCATGTCCCAGTCCTGGTCTGAAGGCTGAGGTAGACTGGCCATGAGTTCCTGAACACACACACAGCACAGTTCAGGTTAGAAACGTGTCCTCTCTCCCCACTTAAAGGTGAAACAAAAATGGGTCGACTGTGAACATACCTGCTGTCTCTCCAGGTCGTTATCCCTCACGGCGCTGAGCAGGCTCTTCGTGAAGCTGACTAGCTCCTGGTATTTTTGTTTTTGGTTCTCTAGCTCGTTCTCTAAGAACTGCACTTCCTCATGCTGTAACACAAGGGCAAAGAGTTACTTCACAGCTTGAGGGGGAAACAGTGCTGCTCGCACACTGATGTGTATCTCCGGCACTTCTGCACAATGCACGCCGTTCGGTGGATCTCTCGTAGTGTGGGTGTGTATTCACCTTGAATTCTAGCAGGTTCTGCATTTGCTCGAGGTCCGAAGCCACTAATTCGCCGTCTTCGTCGTCATCATCATCGATTTCTTCATCCTCGTCAATTACTTCGATCTTCTGTTAAAAACAAAGAGATCACAGAAGGCATGACTTCATGTAAAGAAACTGACGTAAAATGTTGTTCTGTGTGATGCAAGACTTTTACTCTTTATGTTTAATTTTGCGGTTTTGAATAAAAAGCTTTTAGAGTATTTGTTTTCTTAACAAAATAAACCAGATTCTTGAGTAGAAAAAATACATTAATTAACACCTAATTGCATTAAATAGTGGCAACTGATATGTTTCTAGAAAAACTGAAAAATGAAACTCTTTGTGTACAATGCACTCTTTCAAAATGAGAAACAATAAAATAAGTTAGAAAATTGCAATGATAATGCTGCTGAACTTTATTTTTTATTATTAAAAACAACATTAATTGGACTGGATAGAGAAAAAATACAAAATAAAATGTCTCCTGTACAGTAAACATCTACTTGAGAATCAAAACACTTGATATATGACATAAAAGAGAAGGATACGATGGATTATTTGTTTAACCTAATTTTAATTTGGGCTGCAGAATATCTGGTGAACAAAATATACTGCACTTGCATGAGGGGATGCATTACACCTGCAGGCTCTCGGTGTGAGTAAAATCCTTGAGAAACAACCAAGTTTAGCTTCAACAGTGGCCTGATCTTCAAAAGAAGCTTGGCATTTGATTTGCTGTAGGCATCTTAGTTACTAATCAAAAAATTTAAGACGTTTAAGAAGCCTGTTACAAATGAAATGGACCAAAATGCAGCATAAAGAATTGAGCTTCGGTATATATATGTTTTTCAATTTAAGTGCAAAAAGTGCCTAAACATAATAAGGCTCTACTGTAATGTGAAACTAAATAGTGAAAGTACCACATTATTGGCCAGCGGAGCAGCGGTGGACACATCTGTTCCATCCTCCTCGTCTCTGTGTTGTGAATCGATGGTGCCATCTAGATTTGAGAACAGTGCATGAATGCTGAGCTCCACATTTTTTGCACAGAGTTGCCTGTTCATGTGTATTTGTTATCGCAGTCTCACCCTCAGACAGGCACACAGATCCCCCGTCGTTCAAGTCATCTCCGAGTTCAGGCGTTCTGAGCGGCTCGCCGTCGGGGCTGAGGGCCACCGGAGATTCGTTTCCCGGGGACGAGGTCGAGAATACAGCAGGCCCGCCTTTAGGAGGAGGGATTTCAATACCCATCAGACGGTACTTTCTCCGTCTGTTACTGATCCATGTCTGCAAATCAGGAGACACAAGAGACGCCGCGGTAAGTGTCAGAGATGTTAATAAAAACATACTCATGTAAAATTCAAGAATATTGATTTGTTTTTCGAAACGAATGTGCTGAGTGTCGAGGTAAATGACAGGGAAAGGTTTCGATCACAGTGTGCTTCCTTGCCCAGTTTTTGTGCACAATTTTGCACTGTGATTGCGTAACCTTCCCTTGTGTACAAAAATATTGCTCTTTTGAAAAAGAACACAATACTTCTCTGATCAACGTAGGAAAATACGCTAAACAAAGGATGTGTAGAGAAGCAAAAGTTATAAACAGGGTCAGATGGAGAACTACAACACTCACACTGCAGAGGCTGCTTAGCATTGATCTGAAGCTAACTTAGTGTACTATATCTGTAGGCAAACATTTTTCTTCCTTGCAATAAATATCCTTGTAAGTGAGATGGCAGAGGGTCATGTGTGTGTGCCAGAACTGTGGGACTATATTTAGTCCATCAGCATTCCTACCGTGGCCCTGATACATAACTGCATGACTTTTACACAACTTTGTGTAAGTAAGTTATAAAACTTCAATGACCTAGAAAAGTTGTTTTTCTATTTTCTCATAGCCCTCGAGAGCCCCAAACACTGTTGCTTTCAGTAACTGGCAAAAAAAACCAAGTAGCCAGACAATGTGAAGCTGAACGCTTTCTTTCGTCATTCCTCCAGTTCCTGCAGCCGTCCAATGCCAGAAGGGAATCCCTTCTTGTCTTGATTGATTATTGTTTTAATTTCTTAACCTGACATGTAATTCTCAGCCTCGTGTAGCTGGTTACCTTGACTATTTCAGTGTCTACATTGAGTTGGTTCGCTGCAGCAGTGATCTTCTCCCTGCACACTGAGCCCAGGCTGGTCATGCCTCGGTCCCAGTAGCGCTTCAGCTGGATGAGATCTCCATCACTGAACTGGGTCCGATCCTGCAGCTGAAAACATGAACCTCTGTCTGACTACACAGCATGCACACTGATCAGAACCAAACTCACAATAAGTGATAGAATTTATCCCATCTCTAGCTTTATTATGATGTAATATATGTGTATAAATCTTGCACTTCAGCTTGTTTGGTAATGCTTAAAATGTTCACATTCTTATGTTGGTGTTTACAAAAAGTACTCACTGTTCTTTTTCTGGAGTTGCTGATAACCCACGGGGCAGCAGACACACCAACTGAAGTCTGCACACAAAGACACGCATGTTAAATCTTTCAAACCACTTTGAGGACCGATGGTACTGACACAAGAACATCTCCTACCTGTGAGCTGGATTCCCCTGTAAGTGAGGTCTGTGCTGTGAGGGAGTAGCTGCCCTGAAGAGTTGTGTTGCCGTGAAGCAATGCCGGTCTGGAGCTAGTCATAGGAGGTGTGTGGCTTCCTCTCACGACACACACTTCAGCCCCAACTGGGCTGGATGAGGTCTGCTCCTTGTGGATATGTGTTTGAGCGGCCATATTCGCCAACTCCTCTTCCCTTTGCCACTCGTCCTCCTCATCTCCAGTTTCCATGGCAATGGAGAAGTTTTGACAGGTGTCCAGAGGGTGAG